CTTTTTAGTAAAGCATACACTCAATGCATCACATAGTATTATGATGCATGAATGTGCTCCATGCAGGTTTTTGCATCTCATTTATATACACTAAGAACAGCAGCAATGCTAATTCTTCTCTTTATTCTCTATTTTCACTTGGGAATACTCATCCCGAGGCCCCCAGAGATTATGCAGTGCCACTGAAGTGATCCAAGGCCTGTGAAGAGATGATACCAAGGTTTCCACATTCCCGGACCAGGCCGTATCCTGAACAGCTACTGTGAAATTTTCCTTCCTGTCTATATACTGTAATTGTATCTATTTTGTTTGAAAATTTCATTGATCTGTTGATTTGTTACTTGCTTTATTTTTCATAAACTACATTCTATCAACTCTTAATTGAAGGCTCAACCGCTTGACTATTTCTAGCCTGATTCTGACACTAACACAATAGTCTAATTCTCATGCATAGGTGTTTTGTACTGTGTGATTTGAGCTGTTTAATAAATGACGCATGGAATATATTTATACAATCAGTGTTTCTGACACCAAAAAAGTTGAGAAAAAACAACGTAAAGGAAGCTCAACTTCTCCACCCTTTTTGATATATATACAGTGTTGTCATTGAGAGCCCACTGATAGTCTTTATCATGGCCATCATCATCTCTCTGCTCCTGCTGGTTTCTCTGGTGCCACACCTGACCTTCAGTGGTGAGATTTTACTCATTGATTGTGTTTACATATACATCAGTAACTACTAACCTTAATTTGAATAAGACAATAATATGATTAAGTTATTTACATATGTTCCCATTTTATTTGATGTTATAGTACATAGTTCAAGTAACATCATTACATCAACATTAAACCCTAGTTGCCGTTTTAAACAGTTTGTGTTCCTCATGGTACCATATGTGATTTTGGGCATTTCATTTCTTAATTTTGCGACAAGTTCTAACTGCAGTTAATTTCTCTAATCATGCAAACAGGCAACGGTAGATTCAAATTCTCAAGCAACATCCACCATTTAATTCCTTAACTTTTCAATCAGGCTCCCCAAAACAAAACCGGAAGTTCTAGATGAGAGTAATCACCGCTTCCCCCTTGCACCAAAGTTGTGCTATCTTGCTTGAAGCCATTCTCAATTTTTTTGTCATTAACGTCTCCTGTGTGTTATCCTGCCCCAAAACGAAGTGAAAAGTACTACAAAACTGTAGCCAGTCACCAGGCTATCGGAAGTGTCTGAGTTTCATGTCATTTCAGATGTTAAATTTTAAATTTTTGACCTCAAATGCAGCTTTGCAGTTTCACTTTCATTCAGTAACATTTCATTTATGCCCCGTGATAAACTGCGGTATTGGATGTGAGTATGAAGTAAGCACTGGTGGAAGAGTGTTGTTTTAATGGAATTTGATACCACACGCTGAATAGAAAGAAAAAAAAAACTTCCACATTTCACAATGCAGGTGTCTGTGGTCCTTGCGGTAGATGCAGAGAATAGTGTCAAACAGCCAGGTGCGTATGGAATATCCTGTCGCCAAATGGGATTAAAAGTCCAACAAAACAGTACAAGAGATTAAGGTGTTTACATGTCTGTACTGCACGTCAATAGTACAACTAAAACAGGAATACTCCACGTCTTAATTCGATTTCTGTTTAGTTTGATTATGATTTAAGTTGAAGTACGGTAATCAAAAATTGCTGTTTACATGGTAGATTCTTAATCAGAGTATTGTCTTAATCATATTAAAATCGGAATGTTGATGTCCATGTAAACATGCTCAATATTTTATTTGTATGTGGTTACTAAGTTGACTGATAAAACTATTTTGTTCCTAGCTCATGTGGGCATAGTGAACGGCACAGAAGCAAAACCTCATTCCAGACCTTACATGGTTTCTCTTCAGAAGGGCTTTCAACATGTCTGTGGTGGATTCCTCATTTCTGAAAAGTTTGTCTTGACCGCTGCACATTGCCGAATGGGGTATGACTTTAATTTAGTCTGAACTGCAATGCATAACATCAAAAATCATCATGTCAAAGAATCATATATAAAATAGATGATGTATTGATTTTAACACTTATAAAAATATTTGTGTTTTAGAAATGAGATATTAACTGCTGTGGTTGGTGCACACAACTTAAGAAATAGGTCGGAAAAGTTGGTCCGTATGAAAGTCAAGTCTTACCACTTGCATCCAGACTTCACTGTTAAACCTTGGCGTAATGATGTTATGCTTTTAAAGGTAATCCACTCTTGTCAAACAATTCATTAATCTTTTTTTCTTGTCAAATTAAAGGTATAGTTTTCTCTAAAATGAAAAGTTACTCACCTTCTAGTGGTTCCTTCTGTTGGACACAAATAAAGATAGTTTGAAACTTCAGCTATCTTCAAAATAACCATTGACTTCCTGAGTAGGAAAAGCAAATACTATGGAAGTCAATGGTTAGTTTCCAGCATTTTTCTAAATATCATCTTTTGTGTTCTACAAAAGAAAGAGCTAGTAAATTAGTTTTTTGGTTGAACAATCGCTTTCAGTAAGAGTCAATCTGTATTTTAATGACAGGTTTATTTTTGTATTACAGCTAGTGAAAAAAGTCCAACTAAACAAGAACGTCAAGATCATTTCCATGTCGAAGCAAGAAAGAGACATCAAGCCAGATTCAGCTTGTGCAGTCGCTGGATGGGGAAAACTGAGCTTTAAAGGGAAAGTGAGCACACAGCTCATGGAAGCAGGTGTGAAGATCATGAACAACACAGAATGTGAAAATAAATGGAAGAAAATATACTTACCTTCACAGATGATCTGCGTCTATGGCCATGGAGGAAGCTGCGGTGTACGTAAAATTGATTTCTAATTTGAGACAACATAGAGAGAAGCAGTACTTAATTTATGTGTCGATTTGCTTCTTTACAGGGGGATTCAGGAGGTCCTTTGGTTTGTGAAGACACTGCAGTTGGTGTCACATCCTTTGGTGATGCAAGAGTCTGCAATAGTCGTAAACGACCTGAGGTTTATATGAAGATTTCAGAGTTTCTTCCATGGATCGATTCCATAATTGGAAACAAAGGGCGTAATTTGCTTTGAAAAAGTATAAGCTTTTGTTTTTGAGCTCTTAAATGTTGAATAAAGCAATCTTTTATCAAGCATCGATATGCCAGGTCTGCACTTTTTTCCAGCTCTACAAAATACTTGTATACAAAAAAAGAATCAAGTAACCAAAATGACTCCCTCCACAATAATACAAACGCCAAATCAATTCTTAATAACAACAACCACATGTTCATTAGCATGTAAACATTACAATTTATATTGTGTTTCCTTAAAAAAAAATGGTCCTAAAATATTTGACACTTTACTTGCTTCAATGTTTCTTCCTTCTGTTAAACACAAACAAAACATTTTATGAAATGCTGAAAACCAAACAACTGACTTCCTTAGGAGTTGAAAAGGTTTGTCAAAATCTAGACAAAAAATAAGTGTGCAAAATTCTGATCTTGTGCATTCGGAAAGTGTTTAAAGTGACAGCCCCTTATCGATTAAAAACTTAAGTCAGTGACGTTTATGATCAACAAAGATAGGTTTTAGTTTTTCTCAAATCTTGAATCTGTTTACAAAGTGTCTTATATATCTGAAGTGCAATGCAGTATATGCACACAGACTTTTAATTTCAGTCAGCCAGCCACAAGGCTTCTGGTCAATAATCCCATACAAAATCCCCACATAAAACCTGATTTCTTAAAAAATAAAAATAAAATACTGCCTGGCTGAGATATAATAGAAAGTGGGCATCAGACCAAAGAAGAAGCACTGCATTAATTTATATTTTTCTAAGTAATGTCTTTAAAATATGGAAATTAATTTTACCCCAGTATTTTCAATGGAATTTTGTATGCTAGCCTGCTGCTAATGGCTGCACCTGTGTTTAAACGATCTTTTGTCTATTTTTAAGTTATAACAACCAAACGAATGCTTATATATATATATATATATATATATATATATATATATATATATATATATATATATATATATATATATGATTATATTTGAATTACATTACAACATTGATGCTGTAGGAACCTGATTGAAATTGAAAATAATTACAAAAAGCTTTCACCGGACGTTCATCATTGGCAGAAAAACGCAAGCTGTGCATATAGTCCATTATAGTTCCTGGTTTCGTGATTACATATTATTTACATAAACATCATTCGGAAGTTTACCACCTCTGCAATTTTCTAAACCCACCACCAGAGGTCAACATCTTTCTAAACCAGGCTGCTTGATTCCATAAAATTCTATCTGAGTGGGTTTTGAAAACTATTGTTTAATGATACATGGATCAACTAAACAAACAAATTAACGTAAATATATATATATATATATATATATATATATATATATATATATATATATATATATATATATATATATTTTTTTTTTTTTTTTTTTTTTTTTTTTTTGTACAGAACAGCAATATAGGAATAACTTAATTTTGCCAGATGTCAGACAGAAGCTTATAATTTATACATGTAATATGAGAGGAATTACTGAATGATAAGCTGCTAAATTATAGAACAATAATGCATAATCAAGGTGGTGATGCGATCACAATACAAAGCAGAGCTAAGCAAACAAACAACAACAACTAAATTAATATTGAAACTTAGCAACAAACCAGGTAATTTCCAAGTTTTCACCCCATTTACATTTATGTTCCCATTTATAATATATATATATATTTTCATGTCTGTTTTACAACAAACATGCAGATACCTTTTACTATTTAGGATGCTCCATACAAAGACAATCATATATGGAGGTCTACAGCGTCTAAAAGATCGACAACGCTTGCTAAAAAAATTAACCATATGAAAATGGGACAGCAAGGATCGAGAATAAAAGTAACACCTTTACCACAAGAAGAACAAGAAAAAAATCACATTGTCTCCACCCACTTTTACAATATATTTCTACAGTTTTACAAGCAACAGCTCACTGAAAGTCTTCATCATGACCATCATCATCATATCTCTGCTCCTGCTGGTTTCTCTGGTGCCACACCTGACCTTCACTGGTGAGCTTGCCTATACAACAGATTATTTTCTAGACAATATGTCTTTAGCATGCACTGAAAAACAGCATTAACACTATCTCCCTGTCTCTTTTTCTTAGCACATGTGAGAATAGTGAACGGCAATAGAGCAAAACCTCACTCCAGACCTTACATGGTTTCTATTCAGAAAAACAGTAACCATATCTGTGGTGGGTTTCTCATTACTGAACAGTTTGTGTTGACTGCTGCACATTGCTGGGAAAAGTAAGGCTTTTGGTTCATTAATATTTATGTACTGTCTGGTTGGAGGTGTTTTTTTTTTTTTAATGAAATAACTACTTTATCATAGTACTAAAATTTTGTTTCATCAGAAATGAAAAGCTGACAGTTGTGGTTGGTGCACATGATCTGAAAAAGAATGAAACGGGTTCTGTCCGCATCAATGTGATGTCCTACCACACACCTAAGCAGTATAAAAATACAACTCTCAAGAATGACATCATGCTTTTGAAGGTAAATGTATTATACACAAAATATAGAAACACTCTCATTTTTATGAGCTACTTTAATGTATGCATATTCATTCATTCATTTTCGCTTTATTTATCCGGGGTTGCCACTGTATGCATATTTCTTTCAAATATTGTTCACACATTTGTCTGAAATGTGAGAGTGAGCACTTCTCCTTTGCAGAGATAATTAATCCACCAAACAGGTGTCACAGGCGTATAAAGATTAGACAGGATGATTATTGCACATATGACTTAGGCTGGCCACAATAAAAGGCCACTCTAAAATGAACATCTTTAATGTATTGGGGAGCTCAGATGAGAGTTCAAAAAACCAATATTTATCTGGTGTAACCACCATTTGCCTCACACAGCATAGAGTTGATCTGGGGTGTGTTTCTCAAACTACTACATAACTCGTGGCTGAACTATCATAGTACGATATATCATCTGAGAATAGAACGATGTGGTGAGGAGTATTTCCCAAAACCCATAGCTTCTCTTTCGCAGATCCATAGTTTGAATCATGTCAGTTATATTGTAAAACGCCCATAACTATGCTCTAAATGGGGTGGACTTCTTTAGAGAAAAACTCCACAATGTTTTGTGGAAATTATTGTTTTACATGCACTTGCAATAAAAAAGTCCAGTATTAGCTTTGATAAAACATGCACCTGTTTTCAATATTAATTGAAATATATGTAAACGACACATGTAGGCCCTATATATATGTTTTCTTTACGAATATTCCAAATAAAATCACTTAGCTAACACATATTATAATCTCATAAATAAATCATATAAATTGTTAATGGTTGTAGGCCTAATTTACAGTAGGCTACTTATTAAGAAATGAAAAAAAAACTACTTAATAATAATAATAATATTTTTATTATTATTCAGATATTGTTCATTTATTTATTATTTTTTAAGCCTACTTTTACAATTTGACACATTCAAAGTGTCAGAAATGTTCTAACCAAAGGGCCCATGTCATATACAGCAGTGTTCCTCAACCACCAGGGCCGTGGATAAATTAGTACAGAGCCGCACAAAAAATCATTCATTATTTTTCTTTTATTTATTATCTGATTCTGAACAAATTTTTTTAAAGTCTTTTATTTAGAAAAATGACCATATCCTCTGAAAAAAAATTTTTTAAGTCTTTTATTTAGAAAAATGACCATATCCTCTCCGTTACATGTCGGTCACCTGAGCATCCAAATTTAACCTACAAACAGCAAAATGAATAACAAACATCTTTGGAAAGTTTTTTTGCTAAGGGCAAAAGGCCCAGTGAAGGATTGCCAAGGAACGGATCCGCAACTCATTTGTCAACAATCAGGTGAATCCACCATGGTTGTGCAAGAAGACCAACTTAGATCGCAAATGACGGCGGCCTTTTATGGGTTGCGCATATCGCGTCTTTTCTAGAGTTTACGCAAATTCGTTGTTTCCAATGGAGCTTTGCAGCTTGCGCAGAATTCTCTGAAAATTTTCTGAGTTTGAAGATTTACATGCTTTAATAAAAGAAAATGTACTATTTGGTTTATTTTTGAAAGATGAAACACACGATTTAGCAATTAACTCAATTATTATTTTTGAGAAGGTCTTTTTACATAAGAATAGGTTCTTAATAATTTTCTCCGAATTGTATGTATTTTACAAGGAACTATGTATGTCTTTATCTATCGCTTAAGCAAATGAAGAAAAAGAATGATGTAATGCTCTGTGATTTAATAGAACACCTTGTGTTTTATGTATCTTTTTATTACAATTTGTTTATGATGCTTGTCTGTTGTCTGATTAAGGACATTACTTTGTTCAATGAAGTTAATAATTAAAAAAAAAAAAAACAATGAATTCCGCGAGCGATAAATATCTTGGACAAACACAGAACACCCTAACAATACTGTGCTTTGTCATTTTTTCAGGGAATAAAACTTTATTTATTTAAACATTCCAAGTTTAAATGTTAGAATGTTCTAAATGAAAATGGGAATAGGGGATATATCGGGGAATAGAACACAACCAGGAACTATGCTTCTAACTACAGCTCTAGAGGTGTAGTTGCAAGCGTACAAGTTTGAAACGTAGTTTGAGACTGTTTATTGGAATGATGGAATTGGGAAACGCCAAGTAAAACGACATATGTTTGTAACGAAGGAACTTGCGACTTTAGTTAGCTAACAATGGTTTTTTGGAAACACACCCCTGGCTGTTTATTGTGACCTTTTTGTTTTCAGTTTCTCTTTAGCCCTGAGTTTGCCTCTAGTTGTTCTGCTACATGCGTGTATTGGTGGACGGAGCTAAACTGTCAGTGATGTAGAATCAGATGTTGATCTGCAGAGTTTAGACACATTTTTGTTAAAAAAGCATATTCTACAACCTTTCATCTTGATCGGATTGTCTTCACTAAAGTTTTTTGACTAAAGTTTGGAGTTCTGAAACGTGCAGATAATACAATCCTATTTGTGAAATGATAAAAGTAATTTAGATTAGTCAGTTTGTGACCCCTTTAATTATAATTTTTTTTTATTTTTTATTACAGCTAGAGCAAAAAGTCAAACTAAGCAAAAATATTAGTTTGATATCAATACCACAGAAAAAAGACAAAAAAGTGATCAATGCAGGCACTAGCTGTAGTGTTGCTGGCTGGGGAACAAAGAAGACTGATGGTCCAACCAGTAATTATCTACTGGAGGCAAAAGTGGAAATAATGGAAAACAAAAAGTGCCAAAAACTATGGAACAAACATGGTCCAAATTCAGATGTACAATACTCAGTCTCAAAGATGATGTGTACACATGGTCTTGGTGGATCCTGCAAAGTACGTATAAAAAATATGACTCAGGGTTTATGTTAATGCATTTATTTATTTCACTACTGACATATTGATCTGTTTCTTAACAGGGGGATTCAGGAGGTCCTTTGGTATGTGGAAACACTGCTGTTGGTGTCACATCTTTTGGAAATCCTGATGCCTGTAATTCACCTTCGCTTCCTAATGTGTATACTAAGATTTCAGCATATCTTGACTGGATTAAGAAAATAATTCGAAAGTTTAAGTAGATTAAATTTAAAAAGACAGACACGTTTTTACTTTAATTCTCACCTAAACATACATTCCCAGCACACATTTTTTGTTTTTAAAAGATGTTGAATAGATGTCTAATCATAGTCATCTTGGCAAGAACAAGGATTAATTTGGACTGTCAGTGAACATCTAATAGATGTCTAAGAATAGGCCAAAACTAGACTGTACACTGCAAAAAATAATATACCAAAATTAAGTGAGTTTTTCCTAAATCAAGCAAAATAATCTGCCAATGGGGTAAACAATATTTTTCTGCTTACCCCATTGGCAGATTATTTTGCCAATTTAGATTGATTTAGGGAAAAACTCACTTCATTTTGGGATATTATTTCTTATGAAAAAAGACAATATGTTTTGCTTGTCAAAAAATTGCTTCTTGATTTAAGAATTTGTAGATATTTGGACTAGAAACAAGTAAAAAAATCTAAGTAAGAAAAGCATTTTTTTTGCAGTGTAGTCATCAGATAAACAGAAAAGAAAGACTACACATATAAAGTCTATTTGACAACTAGTCTTGAGCTATTCTTAGATGTCCATTATATTTTCACCGACCCAAGTTTAGCCATGTTTAAGCCAAGCTGTTTACATTTAGATGACTATTAGACACTTAACAGCAAAATTGTTTGCTGCAGTTGCATTCGACCAAAGTGATCAGTGCACGATGTCAAAGTACTGAAAACAATACTTAAGCTTTTTGATTAGTTTCTTTCACCTTTTTTCCTATGCTTTCCTTTGTTGTAGCCAATCGTTTATTTTCATTTGTTTCATTGATTATGTTTATCTGTGTCTTAAGTTCATCAGATGTCTTGCAAATGTTTAGTATTTTCTTTGTAAATGTAAAAAGTCTGTTTTGTGCTTTTGATTAAATCACAGCTTCTGCATTTATATTGATACATATTCTCTTTCTTGTCTCACCTCTTGTAACAAACAAATAGCAGGCATTAACATAATATTCCAATCAGTTATTCAGCTTGTGTCGTGGTTATGCCTCAAAACATTATTATTTTTTTTTTTTTGTATTTAATTGCTTGTGTATTGAAATCACGTTTTCTTAAATCTGTCACGCTTTGGACAAAACTGCTACATCTTAAAAAGCACTCTTTTAAGCAAAATTAATTCCTGTTGCTCCTGATAATGCATAAAAAAAAAAAAACGTACTAAATCAAAACTTGCTTTTAGAGGACTACTTTAAAAATATCCTTCAGATTTTTAATAATATCTGTTTTTTTTAATGATTAGGGCTGCAAAATATATCGTTTTATCATCAATATTGCAATGTGCATATTTGCAATAGAGACATCGCAAAGATATGCAATGTTGAGTCTAAATTACAGTTGAGCTAGAACATTGTATTTAATTACTGTATTTACATGGAATTTATGTCAAATATATAAATATATATATATAAAAGAGAAGAGAGTAGTGCTGTAGTGAGGAGAGTGGTGTTGTAACAAAGAGTGGTGTTGCAACTAGAGGAGTGGTGGTAACAGGAAGAGAAGTGAAGGAAGGCCTGACACACAAGGCTATCCGAATTCCTCAAAGACACAGTGGATTCACAGTGCTTTTTCCAAGGCTTCTGAAACCACAGGTTCAAGACTACCACCTCCAGAAATCTGCTTGTCTCAGATTTCCAGGAACTCTACGTTCAATGATAAAGACGATGGCGTGTCCCTGGCATCAGAACCACCACCTGCAGAAATCTCCAGTTCTGACTGTTCTAGAATCTACAGATTTCTTCTTCTCCAACCCAAGAGTACTAAATCTGCTCGTTTCAAGCTTCAAGGCCTGCAACAAGATCCAACTTCTTCCAACCACTGCATTAACGGCAAAAACAACCACCATCCCCAGAAATCTCCAGTTCTGCGTGTTCCAGAGTCTACAGATTTCTTCTTCTCAGAGCTCAAGAGAGCTAAATCTGCTCGTTCCATACTTCCAAACCTGCAAGAAGATCCAACTTCTTTCAACCACCGTATCAACGGCAGAAACAACAACCACCCCAGAAATCTCCAGTTCTGCGTGTTCCAGAGTCTACAGATTTCTTCTTCTCAGAGCTCAAGAGAGCTAAATCTGCTCGTTCCATACTTCCAAACCTGCAAGAAGATCCAACTTCTTTCAACCACCGTATCAACGGCAGAAACAACAACCACCCCAGAAATCTCCAGTTCTGCATGTTTCAGAGTCTACAGATTTCTTCTTCTCAAAGATCCAACTTCCTTCAACCACCGCATCGACAGCAGAAATGTAAATATACCACTTTAATCCTCTAACCCACAACCCTCTAAGTAAGACCTTGGCATAGTGTGTTTTAGTATCAAATATTCTAATTAATTAGATGTTTATAACTGATTTTCATTATTAACAAAAACCTCCTCAGTTCATTGTTATTTTAGAATAAGGCTTACCTTACCTTAGCCTATGCACTTCATTTGTTGTACATTTAGTAATTGTAGTTACCCTTGTTTACTCTTTTGTTAATAAATACACATGTATTACAATTGTGTTTTCCTTGTGTTGATAAAACAGTAAAAGGCTCTACAAGTCAGATTATCTCATCCTACAAATTTGGCCAGATAATAAAATCCTCATTTGTATATTTTAAGTAACAATATTTCATTAGTATTTTTCTTTTTTCTTTTTTTTTTCTTTTTTTTTGACAGCAGAAGCTGTCTGGTGCCCCGTTTAAAAGAAGTTATTTATCTGTTATTTCTACATTAACTGGTGCCCTCGTGCGAGGCTAAAATATCAATATTACTATTAATATCAAAATATTGATGTTAATATTTGAAAAATCCAATTATCTCTACATTAATTGGTGCCCTCGTGCAAGGCCAAAAATACCAATATACATACCAAAATATTAATGCTAACATATGTTATAAATCCAAAGATTTGGGTAGGCTCTGGGCCAGATCCAACTGACTAGACAGTTGAACCCCTCAGCTATCTTTCAATAGGATCTGGCCATGCTTCTAAGAAATGTTGCGTCATTTTTCAGTAGTGAAACCATTTTATTGAGAAAACAAGTGGGCAACACTGATTACAAGTTTCCGTACGCAAGTTTGTGGGTATGTGTGTGCGTGTTAGGGAGAGATCAAAGGGCAGGCTGTGGTTCGTTAAAAAATTAAATGACTTTAAAAATGAAGAGTAATTTAATCTAGTTTGTCATTGCTTGATCAATGACTTTGAGGTTTTGCTGCAGAAGCCCGCAAAGTAACAAGCTTTAGTTAAGTTTGGCCTTATTGGAATCACATTATGAATTAGTGGCTAATAATAAGCAGCTGTGTGGGAAATATTGAAGCCTGTGCAAACGTGCTACATTTTTATCATTTATCAGAATACAAAAGCGGAAGTATTAACAGGAACAGTATCTTTTCATCACTGCGTTACTCAAGCTGCAAGAAATGATATAAAGCTGAATGTCTCCACCTCCACCTGTGTCATTATATAGAGCGTTTTATCATTGCGAGCTCACTGATTGTCTTCAACATGACCCTCATCACCTTCTTTCTGCTCTTGCTGGTTTCTCTGCTGCCACACCTGACCTTCATGGGTGAGACTGACTATACAACACACGATTTTCACATTTGCGATTAATATTTAATGTGTTAATTCTCTCTTTCCCAGCTCATGTGGGTATAGTAAACGGCAGTGTAGCAAAACCTCACTCCAGACCTTACATGGTTTCTGTTCAGCTGGATGGTCAACATATCTGCGGTGGATTCCTCATTACTGAAGAGTTTGTCTTGACTGCTGCACATTGCTGGAATGGGTAAGAGTCTGTTTAGTTGGAACTTTGCTACATGAGTGGTATGGTATGATATAAATGAGCATAATGGCTTTCTATCACAACAGAGAAGAAAATCTGACGGTTGTGGTTGGTGCTCACGACTTAAGACAAAGTATGGCTTCAGATCGCATAGAAGTGGAGTCTTACATCCGCCATCCAAGCTATAACTCAAAATTTATTTGGAATGACATCATGGTTTTTAAGGTATCAACCTGTTATTGTACTTGTAGTATTATATATTTTTGACTTTATTAAAGTCCCTCCAGGATTTTGCGGAATTTTTTTAAATTTTGAATCTTTACATGACTGATTTTGCTACAGCTTTTTTTATTTATGGCAATATTAGCACCCTTATTTTGTGTTGATTTGCTGTAAAAATTATATATAATTTTATATAAAAATATTTTCACACACACACACACACATATATATATATATATATATATATATATATATATATATATATATATATGTGTGTAACATATATATGTAACACATATATAAGTTTTGTAGCTTTAATTTAAAGGATACTGTATGTTTAGAAAAGATCTTGTAGCAGTATAAAAACTGTGTGTGCAGAAAAGCTCAAAGATCAAAATCCACTGAATCATTGCACAGGTAGTCTCTCATAAATATGTGAGGCCTGGAAGGGACATGATGGTGGGGAAAAAAATAAGTGAAGAAAAAAAATGGAGTGAAAGGAAAACTTTTTTTTACGTTTTTGTGTTCCATCGCAAATATGTTTATGATATTTGTGTTACATATTAGTCAATTGATTAAAAAAAATTATTAATCTAATAACTAATTAATCGGATCTTTTTTTAAAAATTAATCGCTATTAATCGCGATTAATCGCATTTAAAATACTGAAACTTGTAATTTTGCCTGTTATTTAAATAAAATTTATGTAAACGCAAGAAAAAAATATTTAAATTCAAAATATTATTGTTTAATAGAATTTTTGTTTAACTTGTAACACAGATTTCTTCATGTAAACAACATACCCACAATAAACCATCAAGATCCTGGCTTGACAGCCATATTTTTTACAGAAATTAAAACACAGGCATGTTAATGACGTTTAAATTTCAAAACAACCAATGCCAATAAAGAAAACATTGATTTCCATGTTGGATTCTAAGTGGACTGCAAAAAAATGCCAAAATACAGGAATTGCAGATATGGAAAATGAAAAATTATAATAATAAACTATAGGATACAAACTGTTGCACTCATTGTAAAGTTTTATTGCTGTGAGTTGAGAACATTAATTATAGAGTAGAAACAATTTTGCTTAATCCTCCTTTACATTCATCCAGTTGCTAAGACTAGGAGTATCCCGCAAATGCACAGACTCCCAAATGCCCGCAAATGAATGATAATTTCTTGCAAACCAATCGTTAAATACATTGCACACCCCTCTCGCGCCTACTCAGATACGTCGCTCACTCCACCCCTGACACCCCTCAACGAGCCTGACACAGAAACACACACAGACAGACACACAACGCGCTGCATATGTTTTGGCCCCAACGGCCTTCCATACTGGAGCAACTCCCCTCGGATTCAACACGCATGATCACGTTCATCAAATTTGCTAAGCGTCCTAAACTAAGCGTCCTAAAGTATTACTGTATTTCACAAGGATTCTGACACAACGCGAAGCATATGCTTTCGTTGCGTTTAATGAGGAAACACGCTAAACTTAGAGGGCTCATGCTGAAAGGCAGAGTAATGCCCTGTCTTTGACAGCTCGCGACTTCACCAGACGTTCTGAGTACATTTACATAAGACACCAATACTCCGATTTTAATATGATTAAGATAATACTCATATTAAAATTCAACCGTGTAGCCTTAAAAGGAACCTTACCTTAAAGGAACACCGAGTCACGAAATGCGAAGGATTTTCTTTCTGTTCGCCATGCGGTATCAACTTACAACAGATGTCGAAAGTTAAAAATGAAACACCCGAAATTGCATGAAACTCTGGATAACTTGTGATGCAACTAATTGTTTTATACTGGAACTTGCCTTCATAAAATTCTTCCTTGGTCTTATCCACATTTATTGCATGTTTAAGACACGTACAGGAAGTAAAAAAAACCTGAACTGTGTTAATTGCGTTAATTTTTTTAACACGTTAATTATTTAAAATTAATCACATGCGTTAACGCGTTAATTTTGACAGCGCTAGTTATTTCGTAAAGATGTTTTGTGTTATCTTGCAAAGATGTTTTGCGTTATTTCGTAAAGATGTTTCGCGTTACCTTGTAAAGATGTTTTGTGTTATCTCGTAAAGATATTTTGCGTTATCTCGCAAAGATGTTTGCGTTATCTTGAAAAGATATTTTGTATTATCTCGCAAAGATGTTTTGCGATATCTCGTAATGATATTTTGCATTATCTCGCAAAGATGTTTTGCGTTATCTCGTTAAGATAATTTGCGTTATCTCGCAAAGATGTTTGCGTTATCTCAAAGATAATTTGCATTAACTCGCAAAGATGTTTGCGTTATCTTGTAAAGATATTTTGCATTATCTCGCAAATATGTTTTGCGTTATCTCGTAATGATATTTTGCGTTATCTCACAAAGATGGTTTACGTTATCTCGAAAAGATGTTTTGCGTTATCTTGTTAAAATGTTTTGCGTTATCTCATAAAGATGTTTTGTGTTATCTCGTAAAGATGTTTTGCGTTATCTCGTAAAGATGTTTTGCATTATTTCGTAAAGATGTTTTGCGTTATCTCATAAAGATGCTTAGCGTTATCTCGCAAAGATTTTTTACATTATCTCCCAACACTTTCTGTTCACTTCATACATGTCAACCCTCCCAATTTTTCCCCTCCCAGGATGGACATGTTTACATATTATTAAGTGTATTTGTTTGTTTAAACATACACCCAAATCCCATAGTGTCCTGCGATTTCGCTCATGTTTAAATGGTGTGTACAGAAGCTGATCTGGGATCAGTTTATCATACGGAGCGTGTCTCTCAGTCAGCGCTTTACATGCATTCGCTGATTCAGAGGTTGCATAGGAAGGGCGATGATCGACGCACAGCTTTAATGTAAAGATAGAGAATGCAGACATTTTAGATTAATTTCAGCATGCTTTCGATTAAAAATAAATCCGAATAATGGAAAATAATTAATCATAGAATGATAGTGGGATAAAATGGTAAAATACAGAGAATTTCAGCTAAAACAGGAAGATTAACATGAATGAAATGAACAGGAAATGTTTGTGGAAAAACAGTTTTGCAAAATAATGCAAAATATCTTTGGGACCACAAATTTTTTTTTTTTTTTTATGTTTTCCTATCACTCTGTTTTTTCTTTTCTCCCGCCTATTTTTTCCCCCCATCATTACATCCCTTCCGGGTCTCCGTACATGAAGTTTACATGATAAAAAAATAAAAAAATAAATAAAAAATACAATAAATAAATAAATAAATAAAAGTATTATTGTTGTTTTTACATTGAAGTTAAAATGATAATTTTTTCTTCTGGAGAAATTTAAAATTAAACTTACTTGTTTTATTTTGGCTAGAAACCACTGTAAATTCAATATTATTATCCCCTTAAGCAATATTTATTGTTTGATTATCTACAGAACAAACCATCATTAAACAATGACTTGTCTAATAATCCTAACTTGGCCAATTAACCTAGTTAAGCCTATAAATGTCACTTTAAGCTGCATACTACAGTAGTTTCTTAATAATGTCAAATATTATGTGATGTCAACATACTCCTATTTATCATGCGCTGTCTTCTTCTGGTTTTATGCTGAGTTACAGACCACTTTTTAGGGATATACCGCCACCTCATGAAGTGTAAAGTCACGACTTAGTAAGGGTTGTTTGCATCCACATGGCTTTGTTTTGGGTGAATTTGTGTTATGATTACATCATAGAAAGCATATATATAGATATATATATATATATATATATATATATATAGCATATAGAATTTGCAGGAAATCCGCAACATTTTAGAAAAAATGCAAGATCTGCAAAAATTTTGCAGCGCTTGCTAGATTTTGAGATAAATTCAGCGATCGCAAAATTGTGAAATACTGGAGGGACTAATATTAATAAATAAAGCATGTTTATGTACAGTGATTGTGTTCTTGACTTACAGCTAAAGGAAAGAGTCACACAAAACAGTTCCGTTGGATGGATCTCAATATCAAAGAAAAATGAACATGTCGATGCAAATACTCTCTGTAGTGTTGCTGGTTGGGGATTACTGACTAATGGCACACTGAGCGATTGTCTAATGGAGGCAAATGTGTATATAATAAGTAACACGGAATGTAAAAGTAAATGGGGACGGCACTTCTCAGTGTCGCAGATGATGTGCACACGTGGACATGGTGGATCCTGCAGAGTACGTACAAGAGATAATTGAATGTTTTCTTTGTTTATGAACTGATAGAGCACTTTAGTTACGTCTTGATCTTTGCTTCTTTACAGTATGATTCAGGAGGTCCTTTGGTTTGTGGAGATACTGCTGTTGGCATCACATCTTTTGGTGACCCTCATCTCTGTAATTCACCAAAACATCCTAATGTGTATACGAATATTTCAGCATACCGTCCATGGATTGACAGCGTAATTAAAAATGGGAAATTAGATAACATCTTTAATTATTACAGAGCTTTCTAGAATACTTCTGATTGATCAGCCATGACAGTCCAAGGTATGTTATTCCGAGATAACATCCATTGAATAACATAGGCTCATCTGGGTACTTTCAATCATCTTGACCATCAGTGAATACATTCATATCAATATTTATATGCTTGCCTGTCGTGCTGCTGACTGAATAAAAGTGTATGCTCCATTCAGCCATTTTTGTTTCTCTCAGTTTTGCCTTTAATCTGAGATTTAATAAAGTATTATGGTTCAGAACAAAGTTTTGTGTAACTTTTTTTTGTTTTGTGGCAAGTATCTGTGCAATAAATGGCATAGATTAGGCGGTTGAGGCAGTTGTTTTCGCAGAGTAAAACCTTCAACAGTGCTTCTTTGCTGATAAGCCAGTGGGCTTTATTCTGTTATAACAACCACCTGGATGTACTTTATCTCTTACATATTGTGTCATTAAAGTATCACATGCTAAACTCATATCCAAGTTTCTTTATTGTGATATACAGCAATGGTACAACAATTAAGAGGGAGGGATGTTGGGGGCGTTGGGGGTTGCAGTGGGTGTTCTGTGTTTGTCTAAGATAATCTACCGAACTGTGTATATTTCATACAAAGTACGAAGCTGATCTGTTAGTTCCTGTAACCTGACTCGTGGTGGACTCACAGGATTCATTCAACTGGGTGTGTCTGGAAGGCGTGAGCATGTCATGCCTGTTGAGCACAAGCCGCGAACCTCCTTTGGAAATAACGAACTTGCGCAAACTCTAGAAAAGCAATATGCGAACAGCCCCTTAAAAGCCACTGTCATTTGAGATTTCCAGCAGTTGATCTTCTTGCAGAGACATGCTGTATTCACCTGATTTGTTGACAAAGTGGTTGCGGATCTATTGCTTAGCAGTTTGCAGAACCTTCACTGGACCTTTTCCTCTTTGCAATAATAAAAAAAAAAACTTTCCAAAGACATCTGTTTCTTACTCATTATTGGATTCGTATTCATTTCTTACTCATTTTGCTGCTTGTGGGTTGAATTTTGGTGCTCAAGTGACTGAGATGTAACCAAGAGAATACGGTCATTTTTCAAAATATAAGATTTTTCAAAATTAAAAAGTTTGTTCAGACTCAGATTATAAATAAAACAGTAATGATTAATGATTTCTTGAACAGCCAGAAACCAATTGATCCGTAGACTGGTACTGGTTAACAGCCCAGTGGTTGAGTACCACTGATACACAGTTGAAGTCAAAATTATTAGCCCTCCTGAATTATTAGCCCTCCTTATATATTTCCCCCAATTTCTGTTTGACAGACTTTTGACTTTTGTTACTTGGTAGGCATGGTGTATGTTAGAAAGTAGCAATTAATGATCTAACATTAGTTCAATTTCAATTAAATTCAGCTTTATTTGTATAGCGCTTTTACAATGTAGATTGTGTCAAAGCAGCTTCACATAAATGGTCATAGTAACTGGATCAGGGTAGTTCAGTTTTTAGTGTTTAAGTTCAGTTTAGTTTAGCTCAGTTCAGTGGGGTTTGAAGTCATTATTGAGAGTTCAAACACTGAAGAGCAAATTCATCGATAAGTAGCTTTTCAGATCCTGAACCATGCAAGCCAATTAAGAGCAAAGCCGTATGGGCTTTTCACATACTGCATATTTTACACACTCAAGTTAATTATTTCAAATGTAGATTCCCAAATAAAACTGAGGAAGCGGCACTCTCATGCTTTCTAGACATGACATTTGATTGGCCCCGTAAACAGGGACTTAGAGCAGATCCTATTCTTGTTTTTTGGCATGTGTCACTATTTTTACAAATAAACAGCACATTTGAAATCAGAATAATTACATTATTGCCTAAAAAAGTCTCAAAATACATCATGCAGTCCAACAGCTGAAGTTTTTTGGCACTCTCTACAGGTGGTGGTACACACCAGTGAACAGGCTGGAACAGTGCTACTGGAATATCTCACAGCTATCAGCCAACCAGACTCCAGAACTCTTGTATAAATACACACATCACAAAATTGCTCCAGTCACATGCTTGATTCCATTTAGAAACCAATTAAATTAAAGTCTTTGTTGATGCATTGAATAAATACTGTGAGATGCTCAGGGGCGGACTGGGACAAAAATTCAGCCCTGGCACTGCAGCCACATCAGCCCACATTACCACACCGACACAGCCCCACCTACGGACACGCACATTCACTATTTATTTTGGTGTACAGATGGTGAAATAATATGACATTCTTGCCAGATTTTGATTACATCCGGGTAACCTCAGATTGGGTCAGCCCATCTTGAAATTAGGCAGTCGTCGCTGATTGGGCCAAATGCTTAACATTTATTATTATTATTATTTTATTTATTTATTTATTTGTTTTTATTATTTATGTTTTTTATTTATCATCATCATAATATCACATCTAGCAAGAGATAAAAGCTGCCTGCACATAAAAACAATTAAAATAAATAAATAAAAAAAACTGACCGGCCCACATTTAAAAATTGGTCCGGCCCTTCTGGCATTTGCCAGAATTGCCAGATGGCCAGTCCGCCCCTGGAGATGCTATAAATGTACAGCTGTTATTTTAGAACTATCTTTATTGGCAAAACAGAACAAAACCAGCTAGACACAATTGTTCAAAATGAAGCTCACTTTGTACTTATATCTTGTATCGTAGGCCAATGATAAGTCACTTAAGATCAAATGCAGAGGTAACCCAGTCAGAGTCTATAAAATGAAACAGGGTTGCGCTATGAATACATCCCTTACATATTATGTATTTGCTGCAGTTCAAGAAATCCAATTCCACAATTTTCTTTGTATTCTGTTTTACCACCCATGTTATTATAGTGGCTATTAGTCAGTCTTAGGTTGTAAAGCACTTTTTGTAGATCAGATACTTTTGTATTATTCATTATATACCAGTTTATGATACATAACTTTATGATGTGTAACAATGCCTTCCTGCGTGCTTCGTTTTTATCATTAAAGCCATCTGTGGCTTCACTGTGAAACCACTAAGATTTGCAAGATCAAAACTTTAACATCATTGTACTTCTCAAGTCAAGACTTACCGGCAGCTCAATGTCTCTGGCTCCTCCCATCTTTAGAGTATATTTATACAGAATTTTATAATTGGGAGCCCACTGATTGTCTTTATCATGACTATCATCATAATCTCTCTGCTCCTGCTGGTTTCTCTGGTGCCGCACCTGACCTTCACTGGTGAGACTGTCTATACAACAGATTATGCAGATATGCTGAAAATATTTGATTGGCATGTGCTAATTAAGTGGTAATTTAACTCTTTCTCAGCTCGTGTGGGTATAGTGAATGGCAAGGAGGCAAAACCTCACTCTAGACCTTACATGGTTTCTATTCAATTGAATGAAAAACATATCTGTGGTGGATTCCTCATTACTGAAGAGTTTGTCTTGACTGCTGCACATTGCTGGAAAAAGTAAGAGTTTTGTTTAATGTGAACTGAAATTCATAAAGCTTTTCAATGACAGAGCAACTGCAACCATACAGCGTGTTAAATGGTCTAAATACACAATTATAATATGATTTTTCAACAGAAAGGAAGTGCAGACAGTTGTGGTTGGTGCCCATGATTTAAGTAAAACCAGAACTTTAAAACGCTACGGAGTGAAGTCCTACATCCCGCATCCAGACTATAGAACTAATCGGAATAACATTATGATTTTGAAGGTACCAAACTGTAATACCTGTAATTTTGGTTGTTCAAAATGTATTCAACCAGGAACCATTGTACAAACCACTTCATGTTAAAATCTATTTCAAATGAGATCATTTCTGATTGGCCTTTGGTACTTCTGTAATGACCTCAAAATCACCAGTAGTCTTACTATAATTAGTTGTGTTTTTGAATTGCAGATAGAGAAAAAGGTCTAACTGAACAACAAGATTAAACCGATATCATTGCCAAGTGATGGTGAACATATTAAAGCAGGTGCTGACTGTAGTGTTGCCGGCTGGGGAGATTTGTGGATGAAAGGCCCACTGAGTGACCGTCTAATGGAAGCAAACGTGACTACAAAAAGTGACAAATACTGCCAAGATAAATGGGGATCTAAATATGTGGCCAAACATATGATCTGTGTTTATGGGCAAGGTGGATCCTGCAAAGTATGAACTCAAGATAATTCAGAATTGTTTATTTATTAACCAGTTTGTTTCACTGTTGACGTGTTTATCTGTGTTTGTTGACAGGGGGATTCAGGAGGTCCTTTGGTTTGTGGAAACACTGCAGTTGGTGTCACATCCTTTGGTAATGCAAGGGTTTGCAATAGTCCTGAACAACCTGAAGTTTATACAAGGATTTCAGCATATCGCGTATGGATCCAATCCATAATTGCAAAGATAAAATGATTTTGCTTTGAAAAGTGCTTAACAATTGTTTTTTTGAGTTTTGAAATGTTCAATAAACAAAAGCCAAATGCATGATCACTGGAATTCATCCAAGTATCCTAATGTGTATACTAGGATTTCAGAAGATCGCCAGTGGATTTAGTGTAATTAGAAATTTTAGGAAATTTTGTGAAAAATAAAATGGATAAATGCTTTGCTTCAATTCTTTAACAAACATTCTTGCAATAAAATTATCAAATGGCAAACAGCAATCAGTCAAAGTGTTTTTATTCTCCCAGCCAATTGCTTGTTTTAAATATATTGGCAGGTCACTCGTTGGCCCCATAAGTAATATAATAAACTTTCATTCTATGTGTGAGGAAAAATATAGGGCTAAAATATATTTTTTCTTAAATCTTTTGTTACTTTAAAAACAAAACAGCAGAGCAATACCTAGAGGTATATGTCACCAAGATACTCAATTAGGAATGATGTATTGGTAGCACCAAAGACATGTTATCCTTTTGAACACATCTGAATTTTTTTGAAGATGAGAAATTAGCCACTGACAATCATAGATCCCTGATACAAGGGCGTTGGTTTGCCTTTATATATATATATATATATATATATATATATATATATATATATATATATATATATATATATATATATATATATATTATGCTTATATTTATTATCTTATTCAATTGATGCTCTCTTCACACAATTAATTAAGTTAGATAAATAGCCAGGTGTTTTTCTTGCTCCCGAATACAAATAATTTTTCAAGTATTTGCTCGAATCAAGTATTCGTAAAAACACTCTATTCGTGCCTTCCCAAAGACATCTGTTTCTTACTCATTATTGGATTCGTATTCATTTCTTACTCATTTTGCTGCTTGTGGGATGAATTTTGGTGCTCAAGTGACTGAGATGTAACCAAGAGAATACGGTCATTTTTCAAAATATAAGATTTTTCAAAATTAAAAAGTTTGTTCAGACTCAGATTATAAATAAAACAGTAATGATTAATGATTTCTTGAACAGCCAGAAACCAATTGATCCATAGACTGGTACTGGTTCACAGCCCAGTGGTTGAGTACCACTGATACACAGTTGAAGTCAAAATTATTAGCCCTCCTGAATTATTAGCCCTCCTTATATATTTCCCACAATTTCTGTTTGATAGAAATATTTTTTTTTTTTAAATTTCTAAACAATAGTTTTAATAACTGATTTATTTTATATTTGCCTTGATGACAGACAGTATATAATATTTTACTAGATCTTTTTCAAGACACTAGTATTTAGCTTAAAGTGCTTTTGAAGGCTTAAGTAGGGTAATTAGGTTAGGTGAGTTAGGGTAATTAGGTAAGACATTGTATAATGATGGTTTGTTCTGTAGACCATCAAAAATACATATTAGGGGCTAATAATTTTGACTTTAAAATGGTTTTCAAAATGAAAAAAAAAAATCTACCTAAAATAAAACAAATAAGACTTTCTCCAGAAGATAACATATTAAAGAAAATCATTTGGGAAATATTTGAAAAGGAAAAAAAAAAAAAAAAAAAAAAACAGGAGGGCTAATAAATTTGACTTCAACTGTACATAATTACTGCCAGAGTTGGAAAAACAAATACTATGGGAGTAAATGGGTGGTAAAATTTGTCTGGTCACTGAACTCCTTACTGACATCGGTTCAGTATGGTACGGGTCACCTAGATTAGACTTTTGTTACTTGGTAGGCATGGTGTATGTTAGAAAGTAGCAATTAATGATCTAACATTAAATAAAGCTAATAAATTCAGCTTTATTTGTATAGCGCTTTTACAATGTAGATTGTGTCAAAGCAGCTTCACATAAATGGTCATAGTAACTGGATCAGGGTAGTTCAGTTTTTAGTGTTTAAGTTCAGTTTAGTTTAGCTCAGTTCAGTGGGGTTTGAAGTCATTATTGAGAGTTCAAACACTGAAGAGCAAATTCATCGATAAGTAGCTTTTCAGATCCTGAACCATGCAAGCCAATTAAGAGCAAAGCCGTATGAGCTTTTCACATACTGCATATTTTACACACTCAAGTTAATTATTTCAAATGTAGATTCCCAAATAAAACTGAGGAAGCGGCACTCTCATGCTTTCTAGACATGACATTTGATTGGCCCCGTAAACAGGGACTTAGAGCAGATCCTATTCTTGTTTTTTGGCATGTGTCACTATTTTTACAAATAAACAGCACATTTGAAATCAGAATAATTACATTATTGCCTAAAAAAGTCTCAAAATACATCATGCAGTCCAACAGCTGAAGTTTTTTTTTTTTATCAAACTGTGAGTTTAGACCTCTATTTGGTACTCTCTACAGGTGGTGGTACACACCAGTGAACAGGCTGGAACAGTGCTACTGGAATATCTCACAGCTATCAGCCAACCAGACTCCAGAACTCTTGTATAAATACACACATCACAAAATTGCTCCAGTCACATGCTTGATACCATTTAGAAAACAATTAAATGAAAGTTTTTGTTGATGCATTGAATAAATACTGTGAGATGCTATAAATGTACCGCTGTTATTTTAGAACTATCTTTATTGGCAAAACAGAACAAAACCAGCTAGACACAATTGTTCAAAATGAAGCTCACTTTGTACTTATATCTTGTATCGTAGGCCAATGATAAGTCACTTAAGATCAAATGCAGATGTAACCCAGTCAGAGTCTATAAAATGAAACAGGGTTGCGCTATGAATACATCCCTTACATATTATGTATTTGCTGCAGTTCAAGAAATCCAATTCCACAATTTTCTTTGTATTCTGTTTTACCACCCATGTTATTATAGTGGCTATTAGTCAGTTTTAGGTTGTAAAGCACTTTTTGTAGATCAGATACTTTTGTATTATTCATTATATACCAGTTTATGATACATAACTTTATGATGTGTAACAATGCCTTCCTGCGTGCTTCGTTTTTATCATTAAAGCCATCTGTGGCTTCACTGTGAAACCACTAAGATTTGCAAGATCAAAACTTTAACATCATTGTACTTCTCAAGTCAAGACTTACCGGCAGCTCAATGTCTCTGGCTCCTCCCATCTTTAGAGTATATTTATACAGAATTTTATAATTGGGAGCCCACTGATTGCCTTTATCATGACTATCATCATAATCTCTCTGCTCCTGCTTGTTTCTCTGGTGCCGCACCTGACCTTCACTGGTGAGACTGTCTATACAACAGATTATGCAGATATGCTGAAAATATTTGATTGGCATGTGCTAATTAAGTAGTAATTTAACTTTTTCTCAGCTCGTGTGGGTATAGTGAATGGCAAGGAGGCAAAACCTCACTCTAGACCTTACATGGTTTCTATTCAATTGAATGAAAAACATATCTGTGGTGGATTCCTCATTACTGAAGAATTTGTCTTGACTGCTGCACATTGCAGGAAAAAGTAAGAGTTTTGTTTAATGTGAACTGAAATTCATAAAGCTTTTCAATGACAGAGCCAGAGGTGGGACCAAGTCATTGTTTGGCAAGTCACAAGTAAGTCTCAATTCATTGCCCTCAAGTCCCGAGTCAAGTCCCGAGTCAAGACAGGCAAGTCCCGAGTCAAGTCCCAAGTCAAAGGCAACAAGTCTCAAGTCAAGTCCAAAGTCCTATAGTTTGATTTTCGAGTCTTTTCGAGTCTTTTTAACAGAAAAATAAAATTTAAACAGATTATGTACGGCTGTAAGATCTGTATTTATTAAACAAACCTTTTTTTTAATGAAAGAACATTGCTTAGATATATAAAGATACAAATGTAATTTTCTGAAAAATTGCTAAACAGTGCTGCGTCTCGTCTACACAGCCTATTGCACAAGAATGAGTTCCACCAAAAAAAAAGGGTCCATTTTGCTTCACATCACACAGAAATTGCAGGTCTACTGCTGTCTAGTTCATTAAGTTTAGTTGTGCTATGTTATGTCTTCAGTGATCAACTTGTGATTAACTAAAACTACATAAACAACCTCAATGAGGCAGCAGTGCCAACAACTCCTGTATGCTGCAAAGTAAAATTGAGTAAACTTGGTATTTTGTCAATTGAATCTCGTGTGTGCTAAAGAGATGGAGATGCAAATCTGTCTTGCAGCAATGTAAAATGGTAGCACATATTCTAAATGAAGTAGGCTACTTCATACAAACAATAACGTTGTTTTCTTCACATATCGTTGAAGAGCTTTGCTCTCTACCTTGTGTGATGCTCGTGCACCGATTTCCTCTGTGGACAAAACTGCTTGCGAGTTCTCAAATATACGCTGCTCACGCGCAAATTTTCTCGCTCTCAAATATGCACTGCTCACGCACACATTTTCCTGCGCGCTCTCAGAAATTATATATAGAATTTGTGTCTTGTGTTTCCTCTTCCTTTTGTGCTTTTTGATATGATTTATATTGAGGCACTATTTATTAACAATAACCAAAATACTAAAATAGACTTACATATTCAATTTTTTATCTAATAAACCACAACATTTTGGCTGTATGTTTTATGATGAGATATTTCCAGTTTCAAACACTTAAAGACACAGAGAATAGAGGTTGGATGTAAAGAATGCATTTTGTTTTATAAACATTTATTAAACATCCAAAAGGTTCACCATACTAATCAAATAAAAAACATTTAAACAAAAATATAACTAACGCAAGCAGAAATGTAACTGTGATAAAAATAAGGAAAAACTTGATTTGGCATTATAGCCTACTGTACTATTCACTCTTTCAATAAATCTCACTATCAATCCCATTTTTCATGGCAACTAAAATAAAGTGAACACGTCTCTGCTGTCTTCCACATTATGGATGAGATTGTGGAGGACATTTTCCATGTCATCCTCTTCATTTTGAGGAAAAGCTGTTCCACAGGGCCCCTGAACACATCTATTGGCATGGACAGGGTTTTGAACAGTACTATAGTAAAGTACTTTAATTAATCTGTTGGGGTAATATTATAGTTGCTATGGTAACACAAGTGTAATATAAACAAATGACCCAGTGCTGTAGTTTTTTTACAGTATGGGGTATATTATACTACAATTCACCACACTTTACTGTAGTAAAACTACACTCTGTATTTCATTTTATTAGTTCACTATTCTTAAGACTACAGTATGCTGAAGCATTCATTAACAACTTGTAAATAATACTAGGCTTAAACATAGGCAGTATACCTAACTCTCAAAAACACTAGCATTTATTATAGAATTTACCTTAACCTCATAGTTTTTCGTGTATTATACTAAATAGTTTAGCAATATACAAACCATATCAACATTCTGGAATAATCAATTTATCAGGAGGATCTCTGGAGAGCAAAAGCAGGAAAATTATGAAGCGCCAGTGTGGACAAAACTCAAGCAAACGCAGAGAGACTGAATACGCGCGTGAGAGACCAGCAAATCAGATTGAAGTACCTGCCCACTGGTGAAACTAATGTCAGAGCCAATCAGATTTTTCTTTCTTTTCATAAAGAACGGGGTTCGAATCCCACTTAGGCACTTGTAAACAATCATTTTAGAACATTTTGTCATAAATCCCTACTGAAAAAAAAGCTTAAACCAGCCTAGGCTGGTTGGCTGGTTTTAGAGGGGTTTTGGCCATTTCCAGACTGGTTTCCAGCCATTTCCAGCCTGATCTTAGCTGGTCAGGCTGGGAGATGACCAGCTAAAACCAGCTATGTCCAGCTTAAACCAGGCTGGTCAAGCTGGTTTTAGCTGGATTTTGCTGGTCAGTTTCCAGCCTGACCAGCTAAGACCAGGTTGGAAATGGCTGGAAACCAGCCTGGAAATGACCAAAACCCCTCTAAAACCAGCCTGGTCGACCAGCTAAAACCAGCTTACCAGCCTAGGCTGGTTTAAGCTGGATTTTTCTGCAGGGATATTGTTATGTTTAACCATTTATTAGAGCCACAAAGTATCTAAAACTTGTTTTCATGTTTGAATAGCCAATAAATGTGCTAAATAAATTAAAATAGAAATACCCACAGTGAAACAGTTATATAAATTTAAATATTAGTTTAAATACATTCGTAGTGGTTTTAAATATATTTTAATATGTAAAGTAGAGAAGTTCACATTCAACAAACTGAATAAAACAAGTCTTTGTTTTTAGTTTATTTAAAAACAATTACAAATGGAGTAATTCAACTCACAATTAAATGATCTCATTGAGTGATGGAATAACAAAGGTAAAACTTTAATTAAATTATCAGTCAAGTGTTTCCAAATGAAATCTGTTAAAATAAGAGTCCTACAAAACAGGAACAAAGACACTCATGAAACAAAATGTGATTGTCAATTGTATTTTTTATTAGATGGTTGGTTTTAAGTACTTTAAAAATAGTAGATAATCCTTAAATATAGAGGGGGAAATACAGAAAAACAAACAAACAGAAATTCAACAATATAGATGCATTACATTACAATCTCACAATAAAATTTTTTATTAAAAACCATATAGAGGACTAAAATATTGCTAAGAGGCATAACATCAACAATAATAAAAATATCTTTAAGGTTTTAAATACTAAATAAAATTAATAGTAATAATCCAAAATATGAAAAATGTAACACTTTACAATAAGGTTGTATTAATTAATCAAGTTTATGCATGTAGTAATGTGAACAAACAATGCAGTGCAGTTCATTACAGTATTCATTATTTTATGCTTTAATTAATGGAAATAAAATTATTGGTTAATTCTTGTTAACTCACAGTGCATTAACATTAATGTTAACAAGCATAACTTTAAATTGTAATAATGCAATAGTAAATGTTAAACTATAATTAATAAAGGTTTAGAAGTATAGTTCATTATTAGTTCATGTTAGTACATAGTTTAACTAAAGAAACCTTATTGCAAAATGTCACCAGAAAATAACAAAAAACTTTTTTTTTTTTTCAGTTTTAATAGCTTTAAAAATAAATTATATATCTAGTTATTATGGGCAAAACACAAAGATAAAACATAATATGCGCATTGACACAAACGACCAAGTGCAAAAACATAAATTACAGCCATGTTCATTCATAATTATATGATATAAATCAAGAGAGGGTAAATTTGGTTTAAAAAAGCTGAAGTTCATTGACTTATACACAACAGTAAAACAATGCTTTTGCACAACAGTAACACATTGCGAGTAGTAAAGTCTCTTACCTTTGAAAGATGTTGTAAATCCGCTGAATTAAACAAAAGGAGCAGACCGCGGATGTGTTTATTTCACTCTCCGAGTCAGAATGAAAATGGCATCTTCAAATTTCCCGCTGGTGCAAAAACACGGAAGTGCGCCACAAAGCGCTAGTGATCGAAAGTATGCGTGCATGCTCTCTGTCACACACGCACACACACGCAGAGATAGAGCGTTCTGTGTCAACATACTTCTTATCTTTGGGCTTTTTATAGAAAATAGCAAGTCTTTACAAGTCAATAGGCGCAAGTCCAAGTGAAAGTCCGAGTCAATTATGTTCAAGTCCAAGTCGAGTTGCAAGTCTTTTCATATTTTGTCAAGTCAAGTCTGAAGTCATCAAATTCATGACTCGAGTCTGACTCGAGTCCAAGTCACATGACTCGAGTCCACACCTCTGGACAGAGCAACTGCAACCATACAGCGTGTTAAATGGTCTAAATACACAATTATAATGTGATTTTCCAACAGAAAGGAAGAGCAGACAGTTGTGGTTGGTGCCCATGATTTAAGTAAAACCAGAACTTTAAAACGCTACGGAGTGAAGTTCTACATCCCGCATCCAGACTATAGAACTAATCGGAATAACATTATGATTTTGAAGGTACCAAACTGTAACACCTGTAACTTTGGTTGTTCAAATTGTATTCAACCAGGAACCATTGTACAAACCACTTTGTGTTAAAATCTATTTCAAATGAGTTCATTTCTGATCGGCCTTTGGTGCTTCTGTAATGACCTCAAAGTCACCAGTAGTCTTACTATAATTAGTTGTGTTTTTGAATTGCAGATAGATAAAAAGGTCAAACTGAACAACAAGATTAAACCGATATCATTGCCAAGTGATGGTAAACATATTAAAGCAGGTGCTGACTGTAGTGTTGCCGGCTGGGGAGATTTGTGGATGGAAGGCCCACTGAGTGACCGTCTAATGGAAGCAAACGTGACTACAAAAAGTGACAAATACTGCCATGTTAAATGGGGATCTAAATATGTGGCCAAACATATGATCTGTGTTTACGGCCAAGGTGGATCCTGCAAAGTATGTAATTCAGACTTGTTTATTTATTAACCAGTTTGTTTCACTGTTGTCGTGTTTATCTGTGTTTGTTGACAGGGGGATTCAGGAGGTCCTTTGGTTTGTGGAAACACTGCAGTTGGTGTCACATCCTTTGGTGATGCAAGGGTTTGCGATAGTCCTGAACAACCAGAAGTTTATACAAGGATTTCAGCATATCGCGTATGGATCCAATCCATAATTGCAAAGATAAAATGATTTTGCTTTGAAAAGTGCTTAACAATTGTTTTTTTGAGTTTTGAAATGTTTAATAAACAAAAGCCAAAAAGCCAATAGACAAGGGGGGCTTGAGTGGTTAGAAAGACCTAAAGTTTGATTATTAATATATATATATATATATATATATATATATATATATATATATATATATATATATATATATATATATATATATATATATATTACAGATTTAGATTATCAGTATTATGCCTATTGTTTTTTTGTTTTGTTTTTTGCTGCCGCCATCCTCACTTATGTGTCACCCAATACACCTTACTCTTGCATGGGGATAAAATCAGCTGCCTCTCAAATCGCATACTTATGCACTATTCTACGTCATTTTATAGTATAAATAGTGTAAGTAGTGCGTTCACACTGAAAATTCTAAAAATATTAAGTGCACTTTAATTACCTGAATGATGCAGTCATTCAGCCAGTAAAATTAAATGTGTAATGATTGACACTTCACACACTAAACGACTGCAGGACACTACATACATGTACTATGCAGTTGAGTGTGTAGGTGCATAGGTACATAGTGCATGAGTGCATAGTGTATAGTGTGCCATTTTAGACATAGCTCATCCACTGCATTTGGCGCTGATTGTATCTAAACGCAGCCACACCCCTTCTTGTGACAGCAGGGAAAGGCACAGCCAATCAAAATGTCCATATTTGTTTTGGGGCGGGAGGACTCGAGGATAGAACCTCATTAAAACCTATTCTGCGTGTCTAGATAATATTGATAGCAATTTTTTTAAGTGAATTATATTGTTGGTAGGGATATTTCAATGGTCGTGGATATTGGTGGGGATGCGTCCCTAAATCTACGCCCCTGCCTTGATCACATTAGATCTGCTCATCAGTAAGGGTCTACAGCTATTTTTTATGCCACCGGCAGCTGAAACCAGATTTCAGAGGATGCCAGATACAAGTGCCCCTAATGAGCTATCATTAATTCCATATAAAAGTTTTGCACTTTTTAAACATAATGTGTATTGTGGCTTTTAGCATTGACCTTAAGTCAAGTGAAAGCAGGCTTGCTTAGTGTAAACTGAAGTTCAGAATCCTTTGACTGACAAAGCAACTGCAGTGCAACCATACAGTGTCTTGAATAGCCAAAATACAAAATTATAATATGATTTTTCAACAGAAGGGTGATGACGGTTGTGGTTGGTGCACATGATTTGAGTAAAAGCAAAACTTTGGAACGCTACAGAGTGAAGTCCTACATCCCGCATCCAGACTATAGACTTCATCGGAATGACATTATGATTTTGAAGGTACCAAACTGTAATACCTCTAATTTTGTTTGTTGAAATGAATTCAATTCAATGTACAAACACTTTGTGTTAAAATTTATTTCAAAGTAGTTCAATTCTGATTGGTCTTTAAGGCTTCTGTATTGACCTCAAAATCATCTATATAATCAGAATACTGTATAGTGTTAATTAGCTGTTTTTGAATTACAGCTAAAGAAAAAAGTCAAACTAAATGACAATGTTAAACCAATATCATTCTCAAGGGATGGAAAACACAATGAAGAAACTGTCTGTAATGTTGCCAGCTGGGGAAATCTGTGGATGAAAGGCCCACCGAGAGGCTGTCTAATGGAAGCAAACGTGACTACAAAAAAACACGCATACTGCCTTGAGAAATGAGGATCTTATTATGTGGCCTCAAAGATGATTTGTGTTCATGGGCAAGGGGGATCCTGCACAGTATGTAATTAAAATGATTCAGACATGTTTTCTTATTAATTAGTTTCACTGCTGAAGTGTTTACCTGTATTTGTTGACAGGCGGATTCAGGAGGTCCTTTGGTTTGTGGAAACACTGCCGTTGGCATCACATCCTTTGGTGATCCAAGCGTTTGTAATAGTCCCAAACATCCTGAAGTTTACACAAAGATTTCAGCATATCGTCCATGGATCCAATCCATTATTCCAAATGTAAAGTGATTTTGCTTTGAATATGTACTGATCATTTGTTTGAGTTCTTAAATGTTTAATAAACAAAAGCCAAATTAATTTGTTAAGCATGATCACAGGAATTCACCCAAGAATTTTAATGTGTATGCTCAGATTTCAGAACAACGTCAGTGGAGAGATAGTGCAATTAGGATTTTTAGGGGATTTCATGAAAAATAAAACGCTTTCCTTCAATTCTTCAACAAACATTCTGGCAATAAAAGTATCAAATGGCAAACACCAATCAGTCAAAGTGTTTTTATTGTACCAGTCAATTGCATGTTTAAAATATATTGGCAGGTCACTCGGTGGCCATATACAGTAAGTAACATACTCAACTTCCAATCTATGTGTGAGGAAAAATGTAGGTCTAGAATATTTCCAGACTCTTATGTCTCAACATTCACTTTGCATAAAGTTGCATTTTTATTCATTTATTTATTTTTTGGCGGAGGGTGTGGGGGTTTGTGCATGTTCAGAGTCAAGTACAGTACAGTTAAAGATTTTGAACACTGATTATTAATGCCCGTGCAGACTAATTTATATTTACACCACTGGTTAGATTTTGTGTTCAAAGTCAACTTATATCTCTTGGAGATTTCCAATATTTTGAGTATGTGGAAATTATGACGAAATATAACACTACATGTTTTATTGTGAACTATTTACATGTCACCAAGATACTCAATTGTGAATGATGTAATGGTAGCACCACAGACTTGTTATCAGCTCTGAACACTTCTATAACTTTTTGAAGATGAGAAATTAGCCTATGACAATTTTAGATCCCATTAGATCTGCTCATCAGTGAGGATCTACAGCTATTTTTATGCTCTTTTATGCCTCCGGCAGCTGCAACTAGCTTTCAGAGGATGATAAATACAAGTGCCTCCTAAGTAACTACCTTTAGTTTCATATAAAAGTTTAGCACTTTTTAAACTTAATATTTATTTTGGCAATATAGCAGGTCTATTTGTCAAATAAACAACTTGCACTGACCTCTCTATCAGCATCTGTGAAATTTTGCAAAGGGAACAGGAAGGAAGCTGAACCTCAATCAAGACACCATTTAAACAGTTACAGCAGCAACAGTTTGTCTTGTGTCTTAAGGGTTTGTCATAACAACTGCACACCATACTGCAAGATCTATAAAGATAGTTTACACAAAAAATAACAATTCTGTCATCATTTACTTATCCTCATATCTCACCATCCCTATATTGCCAAAGAAAAATAAATACTACAAGAGTAAATGGGAGACAAATTATGTTTGGTTACTGACATTCTTCCAAATACCTTCTTTTGTGTTCAGCAGAACAATATAAATGTTGTTGGCATTTCAGTGTGGAGTTTGCACGTTCTCTTCGTGTTTTCGTGGGTTTCTTCCATATGCTCCAGTTTCCCCCACAGTCCAAACACATGCGCTATAGGTGAATTGAATAAACCAAATTGGCTGTAGTGTATGTGGATGTTTTCTAGTACTGGGTTGCCATTAGAAGGGTATCTGATGTGAAAATGTATGCCTGATAAGTTGCCGTTTCATTCCGCTGTGGCGACCCCTAATAAATAATGGGACTAAGGCGAAGAAAAATGAATGAATATTTTTTTAAATTCTTGATACCTTTGGTAAGTGGCCATATAGCATGCAGGGAGGACGTGGCCTTAAACAGAAGTCTTAGCTTATTCCTTCAGGTGATAGTGGCAGCTTGCAGCTGTGGGGGTTTACTCCCTCTTGATTTGTCCCCTAAATATCACCCATCTTGCACTGGAGCTAAGCCAAAGGTGCTGGGCTCCAGCCCAATCAACAAAACAACCCAAGAAAGCACAGCCATCATGCTGAATTCAAGGTCCTGAACCACAGGCACCCCAGAGGGTGAAGGAGTATCCAGGCTCTCCTTCAAGCATGACATCTCTCCCTCCGATGCCCTGATGAACATCTAATTGCATCCCAAGTCATCACTTAGGGCCTACTCACACTATGCTATCCGAACCATGCCCAGGCCCGTTTCCCGGATTGTTTGAGAAGTGTGAATCGGGTTCAGGCACAGTTCACTTGGCCGGCCCTGGCCTGGTTGGAAGAGGTGTGCCTGAGCGCAGTTCACTTGGGCTTTGGCGCGGAACGCTTGTGTGAATGCAAAACAAGCCAAAGTCCTAAACTGAAAGTTAGACGTGACTTTTAAGGGACTGTTTCATATGGATTTATTAATCATTCTTACTGTACAGTGAACGCAAACTGCCGTATTTTATTACAGACGCCAGCCCCTCACAGACCGACAGCTGCGCACCTTCAGCAAACCTCCTAATTACTGCAACACGAGGTCTTTATGATTGTTTATGAGCATCAAAAGTGGCTGTTTGGCGAAAAATTTGAATGCGTGTCACCGCATCCCAAATGATATAACTGAACTGGTTCGAGACAACTGTACATAGTGTGAGTATGACCTTAAGCTCCCCAGGATACCCACGAATAAGATATAACATACCCTCCTCCCTCTTCATCTTTGTAGAACTCCCACAACACCACAAGTTCTACTAACAGGAGATCCCCACAAACCACTTTTACCAGCTTAGGATGTCTGCCTTCCGGAGGATGAACCGCCACCCAGACTCAAAGTCTGGACAGGGCAAGCTATGGAGAAGTGGGAGGTCCATGGAAACTAGTAGGGTTACCTCCTACTTTGATCCTCAGATCTTCTTGAGTGCTCACCACTTTGCTAGAAGCAGAAGCAGTGGCTCGCACATTTGCGAGTCACAATCTCAGCTGTGCAACAGTTATGCCCTCGTAAGGATGTGGACTCCCCACAAGCACCGACTCAACAGTCAGACAACAGTAAATTCTAGCATTATTATTATTTGTAAACAGAGTTTATGAAGCACCTTTGACTGGTTTTTTAATGGGATGAAGAAGAAGGAATGGGATTGTAAAATGACAGATATCCCTAGGCTTTTTCTTTTATTTAAAACATTTTTAAGGGAATATTTAACAAAACCTTTTCTTGTCCAACACAAATTACCTGTCCAATATAGCCACCAAGTAATGTTTTTGAACACATCATATTTGACAATAAGGATAATCATCGATGGCTGCTATGTGATACTTTTATTGGAAGAACTTTCATGGTAAAATTCAAGAATTTATTTTTTTTTTTTCATGAAATCAGTCACAATTTCCAACTATGTTGCGAATCCATGGAAGATATGCTGAAATCTTGGTATACACATTAGGATACAGGCGTGAATTACAGAGATAACGGTCACCGAAAGCTGTGACACCAACAGCAGTGTTTCCACAAACCAAAGGACCTGCTTCGTCACCCTGTTAAAAAACATAGATTAACACTTCAATAGTGAAACAGGTTTCTCCGTTAACATAATTTCTGAATCATTTTTCATACTTACAGTGCAGGATCCACCATGACCATATACACACATCATCTTTGAGTCCTTGTAAACAGATCCCCATCTGCGTTCACACTCTGCATCGCTCACTATACTTGTGTTAGCTTCCATTAGACGGTCACTCACTGGGCCATTATTCCATAGATCCCCCCCAACCAGCCACACTGCAGATAGTATCTGCTTTAACATCTTTTCCATCCTTTGGTAATGATATCAGTCTAATGTTTTTGTTTAGTTTGACTTTCTCTTGTAGCTGTAATTCAAAACACTTTCATTACTAATAAAAAAAAAAACATTGAATGGTTTCTGCTGTAAAAACAAATCTACAATACCTTCAAAAGCATGATGTCATTTTGAAACAATGTGTAGCCTGGATGCTTGATGTAGGATTTCACTTTAAAATGGATCAAACTCTTACTGTCAGCCAAGTTATGGGCACCAACCACAACTTTCAGAGTGTCACCTCTGTTGAAAAAGACAAAATCATTATACATGTGCTTGTTCGTTTCTTGGGGTCAAATGACACACATAAAAGTTCACACTAAAGCACACACTGGTTCCAGCAATGTGCAGCAGTCAAGACAAACTGTTCAGAAATCAGAAATCCACCACAGATATGTTGACATTTCTTCTGAACAGAAACCATGTAAGGTCTGGAGTGAGGTTTTGCCTCCCTGCCGTCCGTTATATGCACATAAGCTGAAAACGAGAGAGAAATAGTTGATACAAACCAATGAAATGTTCCTAACAACTTTGTAAATCGTATGTTGTATAGTCAGTCTTACCAGTGAAGGTCAGGTGTGGCACCAGAGAAACCAGCAGGAGCACAGAGATGATGATGGTCATGATGAAGACTATCAGTGAGCGCTCAATGCTAAAATACTGTTTAAATATACACTAAAGTTGGGTGGAGACATTGAGGATCCCTGTGTGTTTTTTTTTCATCATTGTAGTATGAGGAACATGCTTTATTTTTAAAAATTCTTGAGAAGTGTGTATTTTAGGAGACTGGCTGATTTTGTAGTCACACCAACTGATGACCAATTTTCAGAAGGAACCTCTTGACACAATGAAATGCTAACTAAATAAACATAGTTTTTACAGTACACTACCTGACAAAAGTCTTGTCATCGATCCTAGTTGTAAGAGCAACAAATAATAACTTGACTTCTAGTTGATCACCTGGAAAAGTGGCCGAAGACAGATTTTTCCAATGAATAATCTGTTGAACTGCATCTCCCAGTCATCCAATACCTATTGGAACCCGCATGGACCCAAGATTCTCACAGAAATCAGTCAAGTTTGGTGAAGAAAAAATCATGGTTTCAGTTTGGGAGTATGCGAGAGCTCTGCAGAATGGATGGCAACATCAACAGCCTGAGGTATCAAGACATTTGTCCTACCTATTGCATTAAAAACTACATGAGAGGGCACATTATTCAGCAGAATAGCGCTCCTTTTTATACTTCAGCCTTAACATAACAGTTCCTGAAAGCAAAGAAGGTCAAGGTGCTCCAGGATTGGCCAGCCCAGTCACTAGACATAAACATTTTAGAGCATGTCTGTGGTAAGATGGAGGAGGCATTAAAGATGAATCTAAGGAATCCTGATGAACTCTGGGAGTCCTGCAAGAACGCTTTCTTTGCCATTCCAGATGACTTTATTAATAAGTTATTTGAGTCATTGCAGAGATGTATGGATGCAGTCGTCCAAGCTCATGGGAGTCTAACACAATATTAATTTTGTCTAAGCAACGTCAGACCTTACTGTCCTAATTAAATAATAAAAATCAAGTCGTTATCATATTTTATTTTGGTAAAATAAGCATATTCTAGTGGCCTTTTATATAAGCCACTTCTGATACCAAATGATCAACTAGAAGTCAAGTTATTATTTGTTGTTCCTAAAACGTAGAACTTTTTTCTGGTAGTGTAGTGTGTAGTTGTCATGACAAACTGTTCAGACACAAGGAAGTCATCACATTTGTGTTTGTTACCTGTCCCATGAAAAAAGGGATTTTAAATAAGGTCCAATTTCAACTCTGTTCACTATTCTAAATTTCACAGATGATGAGACTTAAAGAGTGCATGAATAACTTCTAGTTTAAATTCGATTTGAGCAGTTTTTAGATTATAATATGACGATTTAGTTGCAAGAACATGTTTAGTTTATTTTATTTTAATTGCAGTGTCAAAATGTCATAGAAGTACTGGCTGAGGAAATCTGTTACTGGTGTTTTCATCTTTGAACTGGTTTAAGATTGTGTTAAATCTGGAGATACTGGCTAATCACCGAAAATGCTATATTTTGACAATGCTACAGAATTTATAACATTGTTTCAGAGGGTTAAACATTTATACTGATAAGCAGATCTAATGAAATCCATGATCTATGACTTTGGTCTGCTACTTCCTTATTCTGTGTAAGATCAAAAGTGCTATTTCTGTGCTTTTATTATAGTTATTTAAGCTTCATGAATATTTTAGGCATCAACAAGGGAAAAAAAAAATTAAAGTTTTGTGGCAGCTGCAGATTAGAGTTCTACAAATAATAATAAAATAAGATGTGTAAAATAAATGTTTTTCTTGGGTTCTGACCTTCTAACTGCAAGAAAGTGAAACTCTGAAAATCAATTATTCATTAATGGCAGTGGTCATAAAGCAAACTTTATTTTATCCCACAAAATGCAAGCTTAGAGCTTAGTTTAGAGATTGTGGATTAAGAATATTTTGTCCAACAGAAGGAATAGCTATAGTTTGTTGTTTTGCTCCACAGCAAGTTTGCAGCATAGTCCAATAGATTGCAAAATAAAGGGTTAGTTCACCACAAAAAAAAAAAATCATTCATTAATCATTCACCCTTGTGTCATTTCGAATCCATAAGATCTTCGAAACACAAATCAAGATATTGTGAATGAAATCCAAGAGCTCTCTGTTCCCCCATAGCCATCCATGAAATTCCAAAGCCCAGAAAGCTATTAAGAACATTGTCATAATGTATAACCGACTTCAGGCAATTAAAATTACAATTGCAATTGAAACAGATGACTCATGGACTGATTTGACTACGTTCTTAGTTCCTTTCTGGCTATTTTTGAACTCAGTGTTGAATGTAATGAGTAAATTAAATACCTCCTTACTTCAACTAAATGGAGTAAGTTCACAGTATATGGTTATATATTAGTTTTTAACTCAAACGATTTGAGTTATCTTAATTTTTGGGGTTTTACAGTGTTGAAATAGATGGAGCATTGTAAGAGTTATATGCTTTATAACATTATACCCAACTGATTTTCTTGTTCATTGTCATTTTCTGTGGTAAATGTGCAATAGGCAGCCGCCAGAATCACTGATTTAAGTATATATCTTAAAAATTAGAAATATTTTGGTAACACTTAAGTTTAAGTCACAATTCATGCTATTAACAACTGCTTTATTACCTGCCTATCATTTAAAAAAATTACTCTTCTACCTTACTCTTAGTAAACAGCTAATTAGTAGTGGCTCATAATACCATGAATTGTGGCATAAACTAAAGTCTTACCGTATGTTTTGTTAAAAAAATGCATTGATCAACTTGATAAGATTTTACTGAAAGTGTACATGAAAAGAACAACCCAGGTAGCAAAGAATTCTGGCCCAGATTTGGCAGGAAGCTGGCACAGCAGGCATTCTTCCGGCACTGGCATACAGCATGTGGGCCAAACATAGCCCAGGTTTAGCACAGGTGGCACACAAGACCTGGACCAGATATCAAATGTAGTATTTTACCCAAATGTTAAAAATTTATATGTGGGCCACTTAAGTTTGACCCATCTTGACCCACTTTTAAAATACATTTAAATTATTTTTGACTTAAGAAATAATTCTACCAATCAGGTTGCTTCGAAAAAAAGTGTGGCCATAAAGCGAAATGCTTCATGGGTTTGTTAAATTCTTTGCAGTTGTGACACACCAACATATCTGCCTCAGTTTAGGCCCAGTTATGAGTTATAAACTTGGCTGAGACTTGGCCAAGATATGGTCCATGTTTGGCCCTTGTATGGAAGCCAGACTTCGTATGATCATGCAGTGCTGGTGGTCCTCCAGGAACATGGTTAAGAACCACGTTGTTATTTTCCCTAATTTAACTTGATATATTGTGCAAAAATATCAGCAATTGGTACAGACTTTCAGTATTGCGTTATTTGAATTTGTGAAATTTTAGCACAAATGGTCCATTTCCACTTAGTGGTACAGTATTATAAAGATCGATATGGGTCACCTTTATCAGGCTTGCGTATGCTAAATGGCATACATTTAGTCCTTATTTGGATCAAAAACAAACACGCAACATACAGTATAACCCACAGTCAGTGCAAACCTCTCATCTGTATCTTTATTCTTCACCGGCACATAGTTAAACATGGTAGTTTGCTCATCTTTTAGGTTGCTAAAAGAATCATTTGCTCTTTTTTTTCTGGCTTCTCCTTTTTTTTTGTGCTTCACTCTCGCATTTGTCCCCTTCTGAAAGGATCGAATGTCAGAAGCACTTCAATAATCAAGTGCACATTATTAATATGAGCTCAAGAAATTTGTTATTTCAGATATAGATGCACGATGAGCACTCTCGGAAAAGTGAAACTGCTCACGATTTAGACAGCCTTGTAAACAACTATGGTGCACAGGGTGGATTCTGCTTTTCTTCTTGGCTTTGTAGCTCTTCATCAAGACAACGACAAGGTTTGTTTGAGCTCGGGTCACCATGACTCGTTACTATAAGTATTATTGCGGTGTAATGTCTCGGCTATGTATTTAAAAATGGTGCTTCCTTTGTTTTCATTCTCCTGCTTGTGTATCTCTGTAAAACACTAGCGTTCAGCTGCATGTCTCTGCCTTTTGGTACCCTTTTATCGTGCTAAAAAAGTGGTACGGTACAGTTTGCTTTTAGGTACCTTTTGACAGTGGAAATGGCCATATAAGCATACCGAACCGTACTGTACCATACCACTTAATGGAAATGGGTCATAAGCTTGGTGTGAAGTAACATTCAGTCAAGTCTTTTTCTCATCAGCATTTGGTAAATGAAACACAAAGAACGAGAAGGAAGCTAAACCTCATTTGAAACTCATTTAGAAAATTAACAAACACAAATGTGACTTGCTTGTGACACTTTATCATGAGAACTGCTCACAGTTTGCTATTTAGCAAACTGTATTTAGTTTGAATATTAATGTGAGTCAGAGATTCCCTGGTACAAAAGGGTCATCAGTTTGGTGGTGTGACTACTTTTCAAATGACAAATACATTAAAAGCAGACAATCGAACGAGCCCCCAAATACACTTTTTGTCTCAAGAACTCCTAAAAATAAAGTGTGTTGTTCATCCTCCAACATCTGATGAACAAAAATATGGTGAAGCTGAATGACTCTAACTCCACCAGTATTGATATATACAGTATATATACATCTGAAAGAGCTCACTGAATGTCTTCACCATGACCATCATTGTCATTTCTCTGCTTCTGCTGGTTTTTCTGGTGCCACATCTGACCTTCACTAGTGAGACTGACTATAGAACACACAATTTACACATTTCTAAATAATATTTCAATGGCATCTGCTGAATTTTTGCACTATTTCTCTCTTTCTAAGCTCATGTGGGTATAGTGTACGGCAGGGAGGCAAAACCTCACTCCAGACCTTACACGGTTTCTGTTCAGATGAATGGGGAGCATGTGGTGGATTCCTCATTTCTGAAGAGTTTGTCTTGACTGCTGCACATAGAAATAGGTTACGCCCATAGGGAGCATGCAAGCTTTGAAATGATGGCCATATAGTCGTTCAGCTCGTGCCTCCTCTGGGGGAAAACTGAACAGATGATATCTGTGTATCTAGCAAAAGCAATGTTGAATTCAGTTAGCGATAGGGTACGGAGTTAGGTAGTGGCGGGTGATTTT